TAATTAAAAAGACAATCACCTCCTTAGAAACCCACTAAGGATGAACACCTTCCTAGAATCCCACTAGGGATGAACACCTCCTTTGAACAAATCAAAGGATAAAAAACACCTCCTTAGAATCCCACTAAGGATGAGCCCCTTCCTAGAATCACACTAGGGATGAAAACCTCCTTTGAACAAATCAAATGATGAAAACACCTCCTTAGAATCTCACTAAGGATGAACACCTCCCTAGAATCACACTAGGAATGAAAAACACCTCCTTTTCCACCAATGCAAAAAGGATGAAGGTAATAAAAATAAGAACAGACACACCTGAGTAATGGAGACAACAAATTGTAGAAGCTTGTAGAATGTCAATCTCCAATAACAAGTGTGATTAACAATGAAAGCACAAAAGGCAGTAGAGAAGAGGATTTTCTCAAAAGGTGTAAAATATCTCTGTTGCCTTGCTCAAAATTATTTTCTCAAATCTGATTGAATGTAAATTGTATTTTCGAATTCTGTAATTGTGTATTTTTTATTTTACATCAAAACTTAATTAAATAGAAAAATAGCATCAGAAAATGGCCGTTGGACATTAATAATATCATAGAGAAAATCAGGATGTATTAAAAAACATTTATTCTTTAAAACGGATATCTTTTTCAAATTTGAATTGCTATAATTGATTATATTACCAGTATAATTAATTATGATAGAGAAAATCATTTTTCCATTTCTGGTGCATCATAATTAATTATGATAGTGAAAAATATCATGTTATGAATTTTATCACACTTGTGCTTTGGAGGCTTATGCATAATATTACTTCATCAACTTGTATATCCATATCCAGTATTCTAAGACTCTATCTAGTCTTCAGGAATCATCTTGGGCTTGCTTGAATCATCATCTTTATAAAAAACATATATTGGGCATGTAGGGAAATGTTTCACATTGTCACCTACGTCATAAATTTAGCTTGTCCTTAAATTCATCTTGAATGGTATTGTCTTGAATGTAGTTGACTTGAATCATCATCAAAATCATCTCTTGAGAATGCAGGAACATTTCCATCAATCTCCCCCTCATTGCTTTCATTCTTAACAACACCTAAGATGTTACTTTGAAGAAGAAGTAAACTTCTAAGAAACAAGGAAAATAAAATTATATGGTTGCTTTAAATGCTCAAGATGCAAGGAGCAAAACATAAGAAAAATTTTAAGAAGAAATAGACACAATCAAGTTATTGAATTAAGATGTGATAAACTTAAGAAAATCAATAAAGACAAGCAAGAAAATAATGCAAAGTTTAAAAGGAAGGTACATAAAAGAATCTAAAGAATAGTTCTAGAATTGATTACAAAAATAAAGACTCAAGTTCAATCAATTTTACATTTGATTTACATGTTGTTTCCCAATATTTTAGGTGTTTTAAGATTGTATAAATTCTAAGGCTGCCACTGCTTCCATCATAAAAAAAAAATGAACTAAGAAGATAAGATGTTTGAAATCTTGAAAAAAAAGTGACATTTAAATTTAAAATTTGAAATTTGAAAAGAAAAATGCTTTTTTCTAATGATTTTTGTAAAAATTTGAGCTTGTCTGATTCAAATTGAAATTTATCTAGTACATATATGTTGGTTGGGAATACCTTCCACGTGTCACTAATTTTGAAATTATTATTTGCTTTGATTTATTAACTCTCACTCACTTAAGAAAAAGTTTTAAAGAATGAATTAAAATGTGTTTGTTGAAACATTTGTTGAGTTGTTGTTGGTGTGTGTTGAAATAGTTGTTATGTGATGTTGAGACGGTTGTGGGTGGATGGTTGTACACTCGTGGACGAGTGTATTGTATGCAAAAAATCATTTATTATTCTATAGATTTCAAAATGATTTAATAATGCTATATAACAATTTTGAACTATTCTAAATTACAATTTAATTGGATAAATGAATTAAACTTTATTTTTTTATAAACAAAATTTAAGAATTAAATAATGACTATCATATAAAAATAATTAACATTAGTTTAAAATTAGTCAAACTCCACTTTAATAAATGTTTGTAAATTTTAAAGGAGGAAAATATAAAATTTGAGTGACTAAAAAAATAAGACACATGTAATTGTTGCATATAAATAAAGAAGACAACATTAGAACTTATCAAAATTTATTTAAAATAGTTTCCTTATTTATGAATAGGAGAACATTAAAATCAAAGACAATTTCAATGTTATTTTTCCTTCTAGTTTTGTTTTCTTTCAAATATTAATCAAATAGACTTGTTACTATAATGCATAACCAAATTTTGTCTACTATATAATAGTAAAATATTTTTCCTATAAAATTAATATCTAAACTAAGAAAAATATCATGGCAAGATAATATATATATATATATATATATATATATATATATATATTCTTTTTATAAAACTTAAATTTATATTTATTAATTAAATATACAAATGCTTAAAGTAATTTTGTGTAGTGTTTATTAAAGATATATATATATATATATATATATATATATATAATCTTTTTATAAAACTTAAATTTATATTTATTAATTAAATATACAAATGCTTAAAGTAATTTTGTGTAGTGTTTATTAAAGAGATGAACTTTTTTTTATTAGAAATATATAAGTTTGTTTTATTTAATTGATATATATATGATATATATATATATATATATATATATATATACACACACACATATATATATATATATATATATATATATATATTATTTTTACGTATATTGAAATTAACCTTTTAATAAAAATTTACGTTTTTTGACATAATTAATTATATAATAAAATAAAATATATTTTATAATGTCCAAAATCATTAAAATATAAGTACATAGGATTGACCAAATTTTTTAAAAAGCAAAATAAATTTACTTTTTCTTTTATGGAGAAGATGAAATTAGTATAGGAAAATTTAATTGGATAAAATATATAAAATAAACAATATATATATATATATATATATATATATATATATATATATATATATTATTTTTACCTGTATGAAAATTGACCTTTTAATCAAAATTTAAGTTTATTTTACATAATTAATATATAATAAAAATAAAATATTTTTTATAATATTTAAAATCACAAAAATATAAGTAATTGATCAAAATTTTAATAAAAGCAAAATAAATTTGCTTTTGCTTTATAGAATATAAAACCAGTATAATTTTTTTTAATTAAATACAATATATAAAATAAACATATATATATATACAATATTTTATTTTAACCTCTTAATAAAAATTCAAGTTTTTTACATAATTAATTATATGATAAAAATAAAACATTTTTATAATATCTAAAATAACCAAAATATAAATATAAGGAATTGATCAATATTTTATAAAAGCAAAATAAACTTATTTGTTCTTTATAGAGAAGATAAAATTAGTATAAGAACGTTTTAATTAGATAAAATATATAAAATAAACAAAAATATTAATTTATGAACTTAAATAATTTTTATTAAAATAATATAAATATTTTTTTACGTAATTAGTATAAATCTTTAACAAAATTTCTTTCTAATTTAACTATTTAAATAAAAATATGGAAAAAATATAACATATTTTTCATAAAAGTATATAAAAAATTAAGCTTATTGGATTGATTTTTTATATAAAATTTTGTTGGATAAAAAATTGATTTTTTTATAATTAATATGTATTTGATTATATAACAAAAATAAATTATTTATTTGAAATTACGTTATTATGATATATTTATTTTTGTATTAATTTTTGTTTATATATAATTTAAAACCTTTATATTTTTGATTGAGAATTGATTAAAAATATAATATTAATAAATTTTAAGAATATATATATATATATATATATATATATTTTTTAATTATATATCTTAATTCTACATCTTATTATTTTTCTATATTTTTTAATTATTTTTTAATATATTAAATTATGAAACAACGTTTGTCATATAAAAAACCCAAAGAACCAGTTATTTCTGAATTTTGCTGAGAAACGCTATCGATCCATGAGAATTTGCCTCTCCTCTTTACACTGTGTTGGATTAAGACGATGATTTAAGATTATTTAAAATAAATTGTGAGTTTGTATTGACTGAGATAAAGATAAAAGATTTAGTGTAATTTATGTGAAGTGATTATATATATAAAAATTGAATAATATATTTTTAGTGTAATAGTTAAAATATTATTGTTGTTGGAATAGATAAGTTAAACAAAAATAACAATATAATTAAATATAAAAATATTAATATATTAATAAAATAATTTATTAAATTATTAAAATATTTTTAATTAAAATTTAATAAAAATAAAATATTTTATAAAAAATAATTAATTTTAAAGTAATTAATTTAAAAATGATATAAAAATAAATTTTAAATTATTAATTAAAAATATGTATAAAAATTTATTTAAGTACAAATTTAAAAAAAATAAAATATAATTAAAAAAGTTTATAATAAACAATAAAATTAATAACATTATTAAAAAATAAATTTTATTTAAATATAATTTTAATTTTATTATATTAATTTTTTTAAATTATATATAACTATAATATTATATATTATTAATATTAATATATATATATATATATATATATATATAATAAATATAATAATATTTTTTTCGTATAGTGGCTAGTTAATGGTGATATAATCGATTATTTATATATATAATTTGTTTATTTATTTGATTAAGTATTTTTCAAAATTTTATGATTAAAATATTTTATTTATAATATAGTTTAATTATAATAAAAATATAATTAATTAATTTGTACATGATTTTATAATATATATATATAATTTAATTAATTTATATTATACATGAAATTATAAGATATATTAAAATTATTTTATATATAAAATATAAATATATTTATAAGAATATTTAAAATGTATTGATTTTCATTCTCATCTCCTCAGATCCATCATTTCCACAAAACCAAAGGAACCAAACTGAACCTAGAAAATCGCATCAATGTCAGAGTCCCCAAACCCAAAACCCAGGGTCGTAATCTGTGTAGGCGACATCCACGGCTTCGCAACGAAGCTGAAAAACCTATGGTCGAACCTCGAAAGCAGCATCCACCGGTCCGAATTCGAATCTGCCACCATAATCTTTCTGGGCGACTACTGCGACCGCGGCCCCGAAACCCGCCACGTCATTGATTTCCTCGTGGCGTTGCCCTCCAGTTACCCGCGGCAGAAGCACGTCTTCCTTGCAGGCAACCACGACCTGGCCTTTGCCGCCTTCCTCCATCTCCTACCGTCTCCGCCGGATGGGTCGCTGTTCTCAGAGGGATGGAAGGAGTATGCGGCGAGCGAGGAGCGCGAAGGGTGGTTCAACGGTGAGGGGTTTGAGAATATGCACCTGCAAGGTCGAAGGTGGAGCGGTAAGATAAAGGTGAAGTTTAACACTGCTAAGGGGACGGATTATCAAGGGTCGATTTACGACGCTGGACCAACCTTTGAATCCTATGGAGTTCCCCATGGTTCTGCTGGTTCGCCTCTCTGGTTCCTTTCTTTGCCTACAACTTATTTTGTTTTTTTCTTCTTTTCTTTTCCCACTAATTGAATTTAATTTATGGTTGGATGACAGAGTATAACACTATGTTTAGAATGATTCTTTATTACTTAGTAGGATAACAATCTCTAGAAGGCATGGACGTTAAACTCATTGATTTTGGCTCTAAATTATTGATTAATTTCGAAAGAAAGATGCAAATCTTACCTAAGATATTCCATAGCCAGTGCCTCAGGGTGTTATCAAGATCCATTAACAAATTTTAAGGCCATGGTGTTTGGATGTAAGGGTATGTTTAAGAGTTGGGTTTGTACAAGGACAAGAGGATAATATTTAATTTCTAATAAACATTTTCTGATTGGATAGATTTTTAAAATGAGAAGAATAAAATGATAGATTAATATAAATTTGATGTCTGTATTATTTATTTATTTATACAAAATTGAGAATAGTAAGATAAATTACAATAAAGGACAAAATATAAGATGACTATCTACAAGAAAAGGATGGTGTAGCACCCAATAAGCAAAACCGGTTAAGGTGGTCTTGATACATACAAAAGGTCAAACAGGCGCTAATTAGACCAGTAGAAACATGATTATTAGTCATGTGAAAAAGAGAAGATAGAAACCAAAAAGGACATAGGAGCAAGTTGTCAAGCAAAATTTCAGGGTAAATACTATTTCTAGAGCTTTAGTTTTTAAGCGTGTTCAGCTTGTGAGGTAAGACTTTGTTGTTGTATAATTATTACAGAACTCTCTTAATTTATACAACAAAATTATTCTCCAGTTTACATTGGAGTGAATAGATCTTAGTTCATGGAAAATCCTATGCATATCTTCCATGAAATTTTATCGTAGTTAATGTAGTATCTGGTTTAAAAAATTAACAATGTTAGGAACCAATAATATAAAGAAAAAGAAAAAAAAATTATTGAATAGGATGAAATAATAGGAAATAGGAAAGCAATTTCCCCCTTCACACCCTCCACATAGGATTTCTCCATTCTCAAAAAGTCAATGATCAATTTACAATAACAATAAATCTGGATCTCTCCTATCCTTCTTCCCCTGTTTATATTTAACAAACCTTTCTAAAGAACTAACCCATTGATATTCTAACTTTCTTAACAAACTTTTTCTCCATATATCCTAACAATACAACCCTCCTAAAAAGCAACTTGCCCTCACGGTTGGAATTGTGGAAGCTTGATTCCAAGTTCATCTTCATCACCATGATCTACAATTGTCCTTCCCGAAAGCATTGTGCCCTTTACTTCCTTAGGAATGAGAACCTACTTGCCACTGCAGTCAAACTCATGTCTAGCGGCTTGAATGGTGTTGGAAACTAAGGTGGGTCTGCATAACAATACTCACCAAGATTTCCTTTGACTTTCATCCTTCTTTCCTTGCTCCATTGCCAAGCTTGATGGTTGAATCTTCATCTTGTTGGTTGAGGAAGTCTACTACTTGGTCATTGACCAAAAAATGGCTTTTGCAACCCACATTCTTCACAATCCATGATAACAACATTTTAGTCGCACAAAATATTGATAAAAATTAATAAATAAGTTGTTAAACTAATGCAGTATAGTTGACGACAATATTTTGGTCGCACAAAATACTGATAAAAAAAAATAATAAACAAGTTGTTAAACTAATAAAGTATATCTAACTTGTATCAAATCTCACAAGACATAATTACAGGAACATACTCATTATCACAGATCATTCTCTCAAAAAATAGTAAACAGGGGGATTGATGAAAGAGTGAAAAAAATACATTGATGCAGAATAATAAAAATTAAAATCGAATTGCAGTAGAATATTAACGACAATTAAAAATAAATTGAAGTAGAATTTAAATAACTGAAATTTATAAAATTAAAATAAAATACTTTTAATTAAAAATGCAAAATAAAAAATTGCTTTAAAATAAAATAGTGCAGTAATTAAATTTAGATTGAAGCAAAATTTAAATAACAAAAATTTATAAAATTAAAATAAAGTGCTTTTAATTAAAAGTGCAAAATAAAAAAGTGCTTTAAAATAAAATAGTGTAGTAATCAAATTTAAAATTTCTGGATGCGATAACTCTAAAACTAAATTAAGAATTGAAATTGGAAAAAAGATGAATTGAAAACAAAATTTAAACAAGTACTGGAATAAAATATAAATTCTAAACAATTAAATAGCAGAAATTAAAATGAGCATTGAATATATAAAGTAAATAGAACAATATAAATTGGAAAATGTAATAAAAATTGCAAATTAAATAAAAGAAAATATATCGGGTAGGTTCCCAAGAAAGAGAGGTGAGTCACTAATGAACATATTTAAATACCAAGTCTTTCTTAGTAGAATTCTCCTAGATATGCACTCTTATACTACCAAGCTATATCCAGAGTTTCCTATGAGAATGGTTTTCAAGAATTTTCTTATAAGGATACTTATCCAGATATTTTGTGAGAAGGGTTAGGGAACACACAAACAAAATATTTTTTTTATTTTTATTGTTTTAAATAAAGCTAGAAAAAAAAAATTGAAAAAACAAAGAAAAGGATGTTAGATAATATTACACAATACAATTGTGTCTACGATAACGATATCATTTGATAACAACATTTTGATCGCACAAAATACTGATAGAAAATAATAAATAAGTTGCTAAATTAATGCAAGTATAACTAACTTTTGTCAAATCTCACAAGGATACAATTATAGGAACATATTACCACAAATCATTATCTCTACAAATAGTTAATAACAGTAAATAGGAAGATGAATGAAAGAGTGAAAAAAATTAAAGCGATGTAGAATAATAATAATTAAAATCAAATTGTAATAAAATATTAACGACAATTGAAATTATATTGAAACAGAATTTAAATAATTGAATTTATAAAATAAAATAAAGTGCTTTTAATTAAAAGTGAAAAAATTAAAAATTACTTTAAAATAAAATAGTTCAGTAATTAAATTTATAATTGAAGCAAAATTTAAATAACTAAATTTTATAATATTAAAATAAAGTGTTTTTAATTAAAAGTGCAAAATAAAAACTTGCTTTAAAATAAAATAATGCAATAGTTAAATTTAAAATTTCTAGAAGTGATAACTCTAAAATTAAATTGAGAAATGAAATTGGAAAATAGATAAATTAAGAATGAAAATTAAACAGTAATGAAATAAAATAATAGTTCTAAATAATTTTATAGTAGAAATTTAAAATGAGTACTAAATGAATAAAGTAAATAGAATAATATAAACTGAAAAATTCAATAGAAATTATAAATTAAATAAAAGAGAACAAACCGGAACTATAATAACAGTAGATAAATTCACTTAACTAAAAACTAAACTAAAAGCTGAGAACAAAAAAGAAAACAGGGACGAGACTAAACAATAACTTGCGCCAAGAGCAGGAGATTGTGATTATGTTATCATAAGACCTCTATTTATTGGGGATTAAACAAGAGAAATTAGGCTTGTAATTAATTACAATAAATTCAAATGTTTCCTAAATTAAAATTTGCAAAATTGGATTGTTGTGAAGAGAAATTTTTGAGACTGATTTTGAGAAAATAAAATGTTTCTTTCCTATTTTGAGTGATTCAGTACTGATTTATATTTAATTCTTGATTCTCGATGGTCTTTAATTTAGCTAAACTGGATTACTGCACCAGTTAATTTGCTTGATTCAAATTTTTCATTTATAACATTTCGCAAGTGCGCTGCACAAACAAATTTGGGCTTCCGAGAAGAGTGGAACTTGGTTGCATCAATTCGGACTTTTATTTTCATCAATTTGGCCCATCTCAAATTTTCTTGCTCCTATGAGAGAAAAAAATATACATTGTGGATGTATGCATGTATATTACTTTTTTTTTAATGTTAAAATTATGCAAAATGCAATAAATTAAGAAAAATTGAATTATGATATACTTTTAATGAAAATATGTGAAATGCATTATTTCTAAAGAAAATAATGAGTTTAGAAAATGATGTTAGATCAAGAAATAAAAAATAAAATAAAATATATCAATCCACATCAAGCAGAAAACTTAATTTTCAATGTGTTTCTCCCTCTTCATGGAAATATCAACTTCTTTCTCCGTCCTAACCTCTTCAATCTTTGTCTTTCTTGCCAATTTTCCTTCACTGTTTCTGGTTTCTTCATCACAAAGGTGTGATTCTTAACTGCCGAACCTTCAAAAGTCAGTAATTCAACTTTCCTTTCCAAAGAACAAGGAAGAAAGTCATGTTCTTCCTCAAAACCACTGTTCTTCCCATTTTCTTCCATTGATTTTTCACCTTTATTACGAAAATTTCCCTCTCTAGAGATTTTGGTTTCTTGTTTTTCATTTGTAATAGAAAATCTGTGATGTAAACCATAGTAGTTTTTAATTCTGCCAATTGCAAGCTTTGATTAGCAGCCACTTTCTCCTCCTAATTCTCCATCATGATTGGGGATTTGGAAGGTCAAAACCAATTTGTTAGGAACCATGAATTGAAGAGAAAAATAAAAGAAAGATTTTTATTAAATAAGATGAAAAAAAACAAGAAATAGAAGATAAATCTCTCTTCCAAGGATTTTTCTTTCACAAAAAATTTATCCTTGGAGTCAATCTTCAATTTTCAATAACAACAGATCTGCATCTCTTCTATCCTTCTTCCCTTATCTATATCTAACTAAGACCAGTAACTAATCCATTAATATTCTAACTATGTTAATAAACTGCTTTTTCTCCTTATATCCTAATAAACTATTTGTGATGCATTGGTTCCTATATGTACATGTCTTGGTTCAAGTATCACGTTGCTAACAAGTTTACCCTATCAAGTTGGAAATTTATACTTGCATCTATCAAAGGATTAAATTGTGTAGGTGAAAATATTTAGGTCAAAGCAGCACAAGTTGTCACAGAGCGAATTGTATATTAACTCAATTTTATTATTTATGTATGCTTGGAATTTTAAATTAGAATAATACTTCAACACAATTTTTATTATTGGTCCTTTTTTGGTTAAAAGTCAATATTCAATATTTAGGTTTAAAGAGTGATCATTTTTACAAGGCAACTAAATTGACTTATTAGAAAATAATGGAGTATGTCAAAGAAAGTGTGAGAACAAGGGTGTGTCGATAGTATTTCTTTTTAAATTGTATATTGAATCTTGAATGCTACACTTGAGAAAACTTATTTAGGATTTGATTCAGGAATCAAAGGCACTGTTACATTGTATTTATAGAAAAAGGGTACAATAGAGAGGATATGAGTCTCAACCCAAATCCTTAACCCTAGTCTAAGGAATATTGTAAAAGAATACTAAAAGATACATAAACAACAAATCTCAACACTTTTCCTTAAGCTGGAGCATACAAATTGTATGTATCAAACTTGAAACAAATGAATTGAATTTTAGGTTCTCTAAAGGATTTAGTTAAAATATCCGTCAGTTGCTCATTGGAACTTACAAATTCAGTTACAAGTTCCTCAGACAACAACTTCTCTCTAACAAAATGATAATCAATCTCAATATGTTTTGTTTTTTCGTGAAAGACTGGGTTGGAGGCAATATGGAGAGCTGCTTGATTATCACACAATAATTTCATTTGTCTAATATCACAAAATTTTAAATCTTGAAGGAGTTGTTTGATCCACGCAAGTTCTCATGTAGCAAGTGTCATAGATCTATAACTTCTGCACTAGGTTGAGCAACAACACTTTGCTTTTTACTCTTCTAAGAAATCAAATTTCCTCCAATAAAGATACAATACTCAGTAGTCGATCTTCTATCAATTGGACAACAAGTCCAGCCTGCATCACAATAACAAAAATTTGAGTATTACCTTTATCTTCATATAACAACCCTTGTCTTGGGGCCCCTTTAATATATCTCAGAATGCGAATCAAGGCATCCTAGTGATCAACACAAGGATTTTGCATGAATTGACTAACTACTCCAACTGCATAAGAAAGATCCGGTCTGGTAATAGTAAGATAAATGAGTTTACCAACCAACCTTCTATATCTTTCTGGATCTGACAACTTTTCTCCTTCATTCTTCATCAATTTCTGGTTAGGGTCCATTGGGGTATCAATGGACTTACAATTTGTTAGACCAATCTCCTTCAGAATATCAAGAGGATACTTCCTTTGAGAGATGATCACACCTTCCTTTGGCTGGACCACTTCAATACCAATAAAATATTTCAATTGATCAAGATCTTTGATTTGGAAGTGAGCAAACAGATGATTCTTCAGTTGACTAATCTTAGTATAATCATTGTCTGTAATAACAATATCATCAACATAAACCATAAGATATACACACTTGCTTGAAGAGGAATGACAATAAAACACTGAGTGGTCTGCTTCACTTCTTTTCATGCCAAACAATTGCACAACATGATTGAATTTTCCAAACCAAGCTCGGGGTAACTGCTTCAAGCCATAAAGACATTGGTGTAACTTGCACACTAAACCAGACTTTCCCTGAGCAACAAAATCAGGAGGTTGCTCCATATAAATCTCTTCCTCAAGATCACTATGAAGAAAGACATTTTTAATGTCCAGTTGGTGGAGGGGCCAATGACGAATCACACCATCTTCCAATGGGGAAGAAAAGAAGGGTGTTTCCTCAAAGAGGGTGACATCAGACATCAACAGGCATATAATACCTTTTGGAAGATGAAGAATAACATTTATACTCTTTCTAAAGGCGAGAGTACCCCAAGAAATCACATTTAATGGCTTTAGCACTTAGTTTATCAAGACTTGGAGATACATTGTGAACAAAACAAGTACAACCAAATACATGAGGAGAAACATGGAAAAGAGGATCATCTGGGAAAATAAGAGAATGTGAAATTTGATTTTTAAGAGAGGAAGATGGTATCCGATTAATAAAAAAACAAGCAGTGAGAACTACATCTCCCCAATGATGAACAGGGATATTAGCATTCAACATTAGAGAGCGTGCAGTCTTAATAAAGTGTCTATTTTTTCTTTTTGCAATGCCATTTTGCTATGGGGTGTGAAATGTTAAGTGATAAAAAGTTGATATAATTATACTTTGAATTGTTATGAAACCACTTAACTTATGTTAATTATAATCTATTTTTTTCCCAATATAGGATAAATTCGAGAATACCTTGATACAAGAATAAAGAGCATAATTGTCAGCATAATTGGAGTAAAACTGGAAGAAGGAAGAAGATTTTCAGCATGAAAGTCGCTCGAGCGTGATGGACTCTCGCTTGAGCGAATATTAGTTATTCTTCTCTGGAAGTCAGTCGCTCAAACGCAAGAAAATTCGCTTGAGCAAATGTTAGTTATTCTTCTCTGAAGTTCACTCGCTCAAGCGAGCGTTTTGTCGCTTGAGCGAAAATAGGGAACTTTCGCTTGAGCGAGTGTTGTCGCTTGAGCGAAAGACGCGAAACCCAAAAGCCCAATTTTTCCTATAAAAAGAGAAGATATGTTTTGAGAAAAGAAAGCAGTTTTGGGGAGAAGAGGCACGACTGATGCTAGGGTTTCATCCAATCTTCATCAATTCTTCACTTCTTCCACATTTGGAGCATTGTAATGGCCAACATGTGTGGCTAACTTCATTCTCTTAGGATTTGGTGGACTTCCTTTGAACTCTTTTGTATCATGATGATATTTTGAGATATTAATCTATGTTTTGATGTTGTTATTCTTATCCTTTGTGCTTTGGAATGATTTATTCTTGATGTTTGGGGTATGATTGAAAAATATATCTTGAACCCTAGATCACGGTAAGAATATTTGTTACGTTAATTGCCAGGAATGAAATGAATGTATCAATTGCTTAACACCTTAAACCTAATGCTGGAAAATCTCTTGATTGTGTGAGGAATCAACATTTATTAGGTTTTCTTATGAAATTCATGTGTGAGGAATCAATATGGATGATTTGAGTAGGTGACATCAACATTGTTAGGTTAATTGACGTTCTTAAGTGACATAACCATTACAAAAGAGGGATAAGGAAGGAAGTCAATCCTAAGTGCCTTTAATTGATATTTTCTCAACAATTTACAGTTCTTTGTCATTTAATTTCAATTCAACTATTTATGCAAAATCCGTTCTGTTTTAATCTACTTAGTAAGCATATAATTGGGAATTTCCATTGAAACCGTTCCTTGTGGGATCGACTTTTATTTAATCGATATACTATACTGCGATTGATAATTTTGGTACGCTTGCCAATAATTCAACAAGTATTTCTGGCGCCATTGCCAATAAATATTCTGCAATGCCATTTTGCTGTGGGGTGTGAAGACAAATTGATTGATGTAAAATTCCTTGGAAAGATAAAAACGAAGAAAAGGAGGCAAAAAAAAATTCTTTAACATTATCATTTCTTATAACTTTATTTATCTTTCCAAATTAATTTTTAATTTCATTGAAAAAGAATACTAAAAGAAACATAAACAACATATCTTAACAATTACACTTATGTTGATTGTGATATTTTGATATGTCAAGGTTTTTTGATAGAAATGAGAAAAATGTTGAGGCCGTGGTGATTTTTTCTTCATTTTATTGATCATGCTAATTTAGTTTCTAACTTAGTATGTGTGGTTTTATATAGCTTCAGGTTACTGTGAATGACATTGGTGAGTTATATTTATATAGCTAGGGCATTTTGGGTGCTATAAAAGTATAAATGAATGAATAAATAATATTCTACAAGTTTTAAAGTCTAACTAGCCCTTTCTTGAAAATTGAGTGTTCTATGCTGGACTGACGGTCAGCTCACTGCATGCAGATTTGGTTAAGGCTGTTCCTGATGAGCATAAGAAATTTCTGGCTGATTTGGTTTGGGTCCATGAAAAGGTGAGCTTACTTTGTTTGCTTCTCTGTGTTTTGTAGTCATATCATGACAGATTTCTAAGTTATCTGGTTGCCACTTGATTCGGCAATCCTGTTTTGTTTGCTTACTGATGAGAGGTAATTGAAAAATTGCTGAAAACTCTGTCACATTTTGCTAGGACGATGTCTTCATTAACACTGAAGATGGAGTTAAATGCTGCAAGTTGATTGCTGTTCATGCTGGTTTGGAGAAAGGCAAAAATGTGAAAGAGCAATTAAAACTTTTGAAAGATCGAGATACTCGGGTACCTAAGGTGGAGGCTCTAAGTGGGAGAAAGAGTGTATGGGATATTCCAGAGGTGATAGCTTGCTGCATATTATAATATTACTGCAACTTCATATGGGTTTAAATATGGAAAACGTTATATTCTTGAGGATTGAAGGGATATTTATACCTTTACATTTGCTTTTGTAGAATCTTTAAATAAATTGGCTTATTGTTTTCTTGTAGGAACTAACTGCAAGTCCAACCATAATTGTTAGTGGTCACCATGCGAAACTCCATACAGAAGGTTTAAGGCTAATCATTGATGAAGGTGGCGGTTATAAAGATAGACCAGTGGCTGCAATTATTCTTCCTTCAAAGACGATTATTCGTGATACAGATGCATGAGCAAAATAGTTTCATATTTGTGATATTTTTGCTTGTATATGGCGTAGTTTAAGTTGTTAAGCTTTAGATGTTACGGTCTTATATGAGATATTGTGTGTTGTTGATCTAAAATTTAGATGGTGTAGCATCTTGCTGTGATTGTCAATAAAGCATGGAACTACTCCTTTCATCAATACTATGGATCACAATCTTTCTCCTTTTATATGACAAGTGCAATGTGAATGACTTGTTTATAGATTTAATAAAGCTCAGGTTACTAAATACATGAATATTAAAGGCATTGCATTCATTTTATAAGTATTGCATTGCAGCGGCTTGTCATTGGGCATTTTATACTAAATTCATTTGACTGCTTAAGGATATCTATGACTTATGGCTTAGGACAGACCATCTACTCCTTTTTCAGATCATGGCATTCCAATACATAAAATGATTTGGCTCCTCCCAATGAAATTTGGCGATGAACGGTATTTAAATTTTATGGGCAATGAATTTGTTAGGTATTAGATAAAAATATAAACACACAACTAAAATAAAAAGATGAGAAAAACATCTATAATAGATAAAAGGATAATTTTACTAATAAAAAAAAAATATAACCTTTTTCTCTTTATCTACATGAAGGAATCAATAATATATTCTCTTGAAAATAAAGAAAAAACAATTCTAAGAAATTTTAAAGAAGAAATTATTTTTCTTCTCTTAATTTATCTCTCAAGCACTAAAGTAGGAGAAAAAAAAGGAAGTGATTTTGGGATGATTTATAGGATAAATATTGTGTTCCTTTTATAGTAAGAAAAATAAATACCAAAATAAGATTTGCCTAATGTAGGACTTTTCTTCTCACAATCTTCCACTTGAAGATTTTGATTAAATTAATCAAATCTTCACATCATGCTTTATTCTTGCCATCCATTTTGCTTATTTTCGGATAGACCGTAGTAGGATCGGCTTCATACAAACTTGTCAATACTAACTGACTTTATTATAACATCTGCTAGGTTCTCATCCATGTGAATCTTTTGCATATCCACACTTCCTTCTTCTACTACTTCTTGAAAAAAATGATATCTTATTGCTATATGCTTTGTCCTGGAATAAAAGGCTAGATTTCTTACAATGAGCAAAACACTTTAATTGTCACAATACACAACAATATGTTGTTGCTTGTGCTTGAGTTTCTCTATTATCCTCTTAATCCAAATAGTTTCCTTACATGCCTATGTGTCTCTCATGTACTCAACTTTTGTGGTAGATAGAGCTACAACATCCTGTAACTTGGATAACCAACTTACTGTCTCTCTTGTAATTATAAACACATAGCCAATAGTAGATCTCCTTTTATCCATATTACCTGCAAAATCTGAATCGACATAGCCTCTAACAACTAGTTCAGATCCTTCATAACATAATGCAACACCTGAGGTCCTTTTGATGTATCTAAGGATTCTCTTTATAGCACTCCAATGCTCTCCACCAAGATTTCCTATTAATCTACTAACCACTCCAACTACTTGTGTAATGTCTAGTCTTGTGCAAATCATGACATACATAAGACTTCCCACTACTGATGCATACAATACTCGAGACATTTCCATCCTCTCCGCTTCATTGTTGGGACTCATACTCAAGGATAACTTACAATTGATAGTAAGTGGGGTGAAAATTAGCTTGCAATCTTGCATATTAAGGCACTACAAGATTTTCAGTAAGTAATTCTTATGAGAAAGCCAAACCTTCCTATCTTTTTTATATCGGTGAATTTGCATCCCTAAAATTTTATTTGCTGGTCCCAATTTCTTCACATCAAACTCCCTAGTCAATTATGCCTTTAACACTTCGATTCGATCTTTGTTGGGGCCTACTACCAACATGTCATCTACATACAACAAGAAGATAATAAAATCAGTATCACCAAACCTATTGTAATATGTACAATGGTCTGAGCTCAGTCTGTTGTAGCCAAGGCTAATAATGAAGGAACCAAATTTCTTGTACCAACATATGGGCATCTACTTTAGATTGTATAGAGATTTGGTCAACCTAGAAACCAAGTTTTCTTGTTCTTTAAAGCCTTCTGATTTGAGCATATAAATTTCCTCTTCAAGATCTCCACGAAGAAAAGTAATCTTTACATCCAATTATTCAAGATGTAAATCAAATGCAGCACACATAACCAAGATAACTCTGATTGACGTCAATATGATAACCAATGAGAATATCTCATTGAAGTCAATACCTTTTGTATGAACATATCCCTTTACCACCAATCTAGCATGATATCTTTCCACTTGATCATTTCCATCTCTCTTAATCTCATAGACTCATTTGCAACCAATGGATTTTCAACCTTTCGGAAGTTCCACAAGATTCCATGTCTTGTTTTTATGAAGAGTCTTAATTTCTTTCTACATTGTAGTCATCCACAGATAAGCATATGAATTGCTCATAACCTCTTGAAAAGTTGAAGGTTCTTCATCTTCATTTAGAAGACAATACACATCATGACTTGGCATCACATATTGTGAATGCCAAGATGGTCTTGCTCTTTCTCGTATTGATTGTCGAAGATATGCATTACCAATCTCATTTGGCTCTTGATCTTCATGCTCCTCTTCTAACTCAGACAAGTCATCCGAAGGCTTCTTCTCTATCTTTACTATAACCTTGTCCTTTATAAAGTTATCATTTGTTTGCTCACTTTGTAGTTCATTTTCTGAAAATACTACATCTCTGTTAACAATAATCTTGTGGGCAGTGGGATCTCATAGGCTGTACCCCTTCACATTGTCAGCATAGCCCAAGGAGATACATTTCCTAGATTTTGGATCCAATTTTGTTCTTCCTTGAGAGTTGTACATCATGTACACATGACAACCAAAAACACGTAAGGATGAAAAATCAACTGGTTTACCTTTCCACATTTCCATTGATGTGCTTAAACCAATGGTTGTTGATGGTGACCGATTTATAACATAACAGGTAGTTTTAACTGCTTCTTCCCAAAAAGACTTGGTTACTCTAGCTATTCACAAGATTGCTCTAGTTCTTTTAAGGAGAGTTCTATTCAACCACTCTACTATACCATTCTACTGAGGTGTATGTGGCAAAAAAAGTTGTTTGATGATACCCTCTTGCTTGGAAAATGCTAAAAAGTCCCCATTTACATATTCTCCTCCATTATCTATCCTCGAGCACTTAATTCTTTTCCTAGTTTCAAGTTTTACTTGTGCTTTGAATTCCTTGAACTGTGAAAACACATTTGACTTCTTCTTGATAGGGTATTGATGAAGAAGCTTATAGGAAGAATCATGGAAATTTTGCTGGATGACTTGTTGGAAGATTTGATGAAGTCAAAAGAAGATGTTGTGTTGTTATAATTCATTAGTGTGTCTGCGTTATGTAGGTATAAACATCTATCCTCTCCTCAAGCATGAGTTTCTTTCTTTTTCAAAGTATAAAGTACCTCAAGTATTTTTAATTTGTTAAAAATCGGTTAATATGTTCTTCATAAAGGTTTTTAATTGATACGTTTTCAAAGTAATCGATTAAATTCATTTAAACAGTTAAAGAACTTTTGAAGTCGCAGTTTTAATTGATATATTTTTAAAATAATTGATTAAATTCACTTAAACAAAAAAAGAGTTTTCTGTATCATAGCTTTAATAGATTAAACCACATTTTTATCAGCTAAAACGTTTCGAAAATATCCATAATTCTTTTAATCGATTAAACCTCGTTTTTATCAATTAAAACATCTTTGAAACATATCCAGAATTTTTTTAATCGATTGAACCACATTTTTTTCAATTAAAACGTCTTGGGAAAAATTGACCGACCTTTTTAATCTATTAATACTATCAGTTAGTTAGAAATATCTCTCAGATTTCCACTTGCGTTCAAAATACACTCTTTGAGAAATCATTCAAGCAATCTTTTGGTATCTGTTTCAAGAGAGAATCATGCTTTATTCTTTAGAATTTTTTTGAAATCATTCTTGAGGTTCTTTGTTCTTATTTTTGAAGAAACTCATTCTCTAATTGAATTTTTGCTTCTGCATATTCATTTGATTGTTGTAGTTTCTTCGAGCATCTTGATTCTTCATTGTTTATCACAAAATTCAATCATCTCTAAATGATAATGCTATCTTTTGTTGTGGCAGTTTGCATCCGAGAGCCTAGATGGTCCTATCAGATATTAGAACAGTACTGAAATGGTTAAGTAGATAATATAACATGGACTATGGCTGGCGTTGGCTACCCAGGAATGTGAAGATAAGAATGGCCAATAAACTCTAGATGCAACAAGGATTTAAGAGCTTATTAGGGTTTTTGGTATTAAATTCCAATTTGACTTCCATAGAATTGGTCACCTGCATCAGATTAGAAGCTAGCAATGTCAATTTTTTTTTTCTTAGGACAGCTTATTATTACTGATGACCAAATTCATTGGCAATTCAAGGTGCTTTACATGCACGCCATATGTTAGAAAAGATTGATGGAACATGATGTATTAGTATTAGTTCTATGCGGAGTATGATGTGCTAGATTGTGTTCCTGTAAACATTTCATTATAATCAATAATAAACCTACTTCATGATTATTTTGTTGCGGGATATGTATGTTTTATCAAATATTCTTAGCATTTCTTTCTGTCATTATAACTACTAACAATTAAGTATTAATTTTTATACCTTTCATCTAATATTTTTATTCTCACTAATTATCTATTTTACTTAACTCATGTCTCAGAACACTCTTAACATTCTCCTAAACATAAATCACAAGGTTCGAGTTTGTAATGATAAAAACAACAAAATGAGTTGTTCACCTAACCTCGATCTTCTTGTTTTTCAACACCACCTAATTTTTGCTCACCGACAATCAATTTCGCTCAACAGAAATCTTACAATGTTGATCTTTTTTTTATTCATTCCATTTTTCGCTCAATGGATTAGTTGTTTGTTGAGCACTTTTGTTCTAATACATGTAACTTTTGTT